ACGTTTTCAAATTCCTCCGGTTTGAAGAGCGTTTTCGAAAAGCTCCGTTTTCGTGACGGATTAGTGTGGACGGTAGGCCTAACCGGAGAAATAAAGCTCTGTTTTCAGATTCCTCGCGCGTAGTGCGGACGGAGTCTTAAACTAGTTCATGAATATACTGAGGACAGAGCAATCCCTACCACTAAGGTCGTCGCGCGTGAAGTGAAAAAGGCGAGCTAAACTAGCCGCTTAATAAAGACTTGGTCATTTTTATATTTCCATTTTTTTTCCTTCTCGCTTGTCGATTTGTCGTTCCGTATTTCACCCTAGTAAGATCAGAGAGGCAGCACGCTTCGATTGAAAAGAAGCATTTCCCTCTCAGGAACTCCTTGCCTAAGAAAATTATACGTCTAGGAGTGTTGAGGAGCTGTTCCAAAAATGTTTTTGAAAAAAAAAGAAAGAAAACAATTTGAAAAGAAGAGAAGAGAAGACAAAATAGTGGTTGTAGGCGCACTCAGCTGCTCAATCCTGAAAATCAAAGGTGTTTGTATGCGAATTTCTTGTTATCCAAAGACACACAAACCTGAAATATAAGCTGCAAAATTTTGATTACATTATCCTGCGCATGGTATTCGTAGTATAGGACAAGCATTATATGTTTGGTAGCCGACCGGGGTGCCCGCCTTTGTAACCACGTTTCTCATGCGTAACAACAGCATAACAAAAGCTGCCTTACCCGCCTTGCCACATTAACATAAAGGTATGTCTTGTTGCTAATAAACATTCCGCTTCAAGCAACACGCGTGATCTTCGTTGAACTGAGATCAAATCTGTACAGAAATCTATCACAATAGTCTAAGCAAAGGTCGTTTGTTCGGTTCTTTTTGACTAAGCTGTGCTACTGCGAGGAAACTGTTCATGACTGCTGTGAGGAAGACTTCACTCGAGTGCATGGGTTTTACAAGCAATGCCGTGATTGTAAACTCACTAATTTAAAATCATGGGATGTGGAGCCACAAAACAACCAACCCTACATCGGCCAACCGTTGTATTAACTGGGCATAGACGACTCGAGGAGGACATAGAGGAGACGGACTCGCTTCTTGGATCAGAAACAGAACTATCGTCTTGCGAGAAACTACAAGAGTACAGCCAAAGGTATCCTGAATATTCAAAAGTGTTGCGAGCGGTATTCAGCAGTGTTGAAAAACTTCGGCGTTTGTCAGAAATGGAGAATTCACTGAGCGACAAGAAGCTAGTATCGAAGTTAAATAGAGAAGCTCTTAAGCTTCGCCAGAGAAGTATCAAGGTAGCTTTCTCAGCCGGAACAACTGACGAAAAGAAATATGACATTCTTGCAAATTTCATCATCGACATCGGCGCAGCGGAGTTTTTCTACAAGCTAACCAAACAGTTGTTCGATTCCTACCTCAACAGCGGACAGACACTTCGCAAAAATGGAATAAAACCGGCGGATAAACCATTAAATATTGAAACAGACCGATGCGATCAACTGGCATCAGAGAGCTTAATTTTAATTCTACTCGTGATCCAGAACTTTGCTGAGTTTCATGAGCAGTTCTGTGTGACATGCGCAACAGAAACTGGGATAATACCACTTTGCTTGGAAAGTAGCAAACAGTTAGAGTCCATGCTCAAGACCTTGGACGACCGCAGTGGTGAGACGCCAGTACGAGCCATTAGAGTTCTGGGATGTTGTTTTAATATTCTGTATAACATGGCCAGGAAGACTGAAGAGGTCAAACCGACCGTTGACTACGAGGCCAAGGAGACTTTAGTTTATTTTGCCAAATCAGATATTCCCATTGTGGCCCCGCTGGCTTTGCTAAGTTTGGCTTACGTGGCTGACGAAGAGAGTAACCAGCTGGTACTCGCAGATGAAGAAATCTTGGTGAATTTAACTTCCATTTTGAAAAAGGCTAACGATTCGGAAAGGCGAAAGTTTGATGGCTTTTCTGCAAGAGAGCTGGCGGAGGGTCTCAGCCATCTTGCCATAAACGATACCAACAAAAGAGTTTTGGGTCAAAAAAGTGCGATAAAAGTGCTTGTTTCAATGATAAAGACATCAGGTGACAACGGAGAAAAGGCAAGCGCAGTCAAAGCGCTTTGGATGTTAGCCTTTGATGAGAATAACAAGAACCTCATCGCTCAAGAGGAAGGAGCCTTGAACACTCTACGACAGCTGCAGCACTGCGAGGACCCGGATGTTCAAAAGGGAGCCGCAGGTGCACTATGGGAGATTGAAGGAAAGACTGCAAGAAAGCAGGCTGAGGAGACAAGAGAAGTCTCGGCAAATCACGTGATGATTAGTTACCAATGGGATTCCCAGGAAGTGTTAGTCGAGGTGAAAAACAAGCTTCAGGCCAATGGATACAGAGTATGGATGGATCTGGAGCAGATGGGAGGGTCCACATTGGAGACCATGGCCAAAGCTGTCGAGAACGCCTCAGTTATTCTGGTGTGCGTATCACAACGATACAAAGAAAGTCCAAACTGTCGATCAGAAGCCGAGTATGCCTACCAGCTGAGAAAGGACATCATTCCTTTGATGATGGAACGAAATTACCGACCGGACGGTTGGCTAGGAATGATTGTTGGAACAAAACTTTGGATTGACTTTAGAAATAGTTACGGTATCGAGACAGGGGTTGGGAAGTTGTTGAGGGAGTTAGGCGGCAGGGGACGACAAGACCAAGGCAATCACTTCACTGACCCTGGCCAATTAGGAAATGCTGAACAAGTACAAGAAGATTGTCCTCCAGCCACCCCTGAAGCGCCAGGAATCTCTAGTTGGACAAGTCATGATGTGGAGTGCTGGTTAAAGGACATTGGGTTGGACGAGGTATGCAAGACAGTCCTACCCAGACTGGACGGTCAGACTTTGATTTACCTTTATGCACTCCGTGATGAATGTCCTGATTATTTCTACAGGTGCCTGGAAAGCAATCTTAACTTGCGTGACATGTTTGATCTATTTAAATTCAGGGAAGAACTGTGTAAACTGATGAAAAAATAACCCTATTCGGCAGAAACGTGTCGTTTTGACTGAAACGTCTAAAGGGATTTAAATACCCACCAATACTATGTGCTGTTTAAAGTTCACCAGTAAATTTTCTCCGATTCTTATTGGTTTAAACTGATCACGTGACGCGATAGTGTTCATCCGCGGAGACACTATCAGCCCATAGTGACCGTCCGAGGAAAATACCCGGATGGATAGTACTCGTCCGTGAACATTTTTCTGTAAACAAGCGAGCTTACAGAAAATAAACAATTGCAATTGTATTAAGTGGGTTTTTGTCTGTTTTCTTTTTCAAATTTCACATTTGGCTTTCACGGCTTTTATCTAAATAAGTTGAAAATAATTCAATATAATTTTTGAACTGGCCCGCGGAAGATAATTTAGTGGTGAACAATAAAGACAATAGAGTGTTTATGTCTGGGAACTATCGGTCTGATAGTTGCCCCTTGGAAATTTGATGTTCTTAAAACTAGCATATTTGCCCCCGAAGCTTCGCTTCTCGAGCAAATATTTGTTTTAAGAACATTAAATTTCCGCGGGGGCAACCATCAGCCGATAGTTCCTCGACAGAAACACTCCATCGTTTAAATGTGCCTAGAGTCTTCCTATCGTAAAAGTTGATTGTAATCAAGTCAGATCCTCTTTGGTGCCTTTGTTGCAATCTCCTGCAATGTATTTCACTGAATATATCGCACACAGGGTATATCCAAAATAAAACAATAAATCTAATGCGAGTAATTTATGATTAAGACTGTAATGATGAATGGGAGGGCGGGTTAAGGGGAGGAAGAGCTTTTGTATGCATTGTGCCGATCTTTTTCTTTATGACTTACATTCCTTAATTTTTTTTTTTTTTTGACAAAAACGTCGATCGTGAGCTCTTAGTTATTACGTAACGTACCCAAATTCGCAATTATGAGCCTTGTCTACTGTTTTAATGTCCTGTCATATCAAGTCATCGAGCTGATATGACAGGATCTTTGGCTGAATTTGGCCTGATATGAGCCTGATATGCCGCCGTAGAGCGCCAAAAAGGTACGATTAGGTTATAACGGTGGCCAAATTCAGCCAAAGACCCTGTTATATCAAGTCATCGCGCTGACAGGACAGGATCTTTGGCTGAGTTTGGCCGTTATAACCTAATCGTACCTTTTTGGCGCTCTACGGCGGTATATCAGGCTCGTTTAGCCTCCAGGAACAAGGGTATTTTCGAAGCGAACTTACTCTATATTCCGGCGAAACGTAGCAAAAAGGTATGATTAGACACTAGAAATGCGAGCTTGAAGTTCATGGCGTCTTAACGAAGAGTGATCGTCAGGAGTTTCATTGAGGGTCGGGCACCAGACAAATTGACCGGCTGTGAGAACGGTTTTGCCCGCCTGGTTTGATCATGTAAAGGACAGTTTTTCTTGTAAAGAAGTTCAGTTCAAAAAGTTTTCCCCACCTGTGAAAACCAGTTGCCCTCCATCTGAAATCGCTATTGAATCATCGTAGGATATTTTCTAAACCTTTCATCATTTTCCCAGAACAGCCCTCGCGATTAGAATAACTTACAACTATTGAACAAAGCAAGTGAGTGACTTCAATTGTTTAAGTCCAAACTGTTCGTTTATTGCTTCATACTTTTCCTCCGCCTCATTACAATGTACAGCCGTTACTTCGGCAAGCTGTGGTTTTACCAATTCAAATGTCACCAAAAGCTAATCTGTTCTCTTAGAAGAACTCGGCCATCCCTTCCTCCAGGAACCGCTTGTAGATACTCATAAACTTGGCTACAAACGCTTCAAGATGGTAGATGGCTTTGTTTCCTTGGTGAACACGATGTTCATAGTGAGCAGCCATGTTTGTTACTTCAGTCTTCAGACTGCCATCACAGTTGGTCACCAGTTCAGTTATCAAACCCTGCAAAACCAAGAAATGTTTGTTATAGGTATAGCAACTAGACCGGTTTTCAGGTGATTGTCGGAAAACCAAAAACAAAGAAATGGCCTATTATAAGAAACGCAAACAGCCTGATGAACACGAAGCAATTACACGCACCTGGTGCAAGATGCGGAAAAACCAGCTTGACTACTAATTGGCTTTCGTTTTATGGACCTATCATTGTGAATCCACCCCAAGGGATCGCCCTGCGGGGGAAGGGGGGGGGGAGGCAATGTGGGGAAGGGGTTGGGATGTCACCACTTTGTGCAACTCATGTACGTAAGAAGCTTCAAAACCCACACACCTTACTGAGGTTGTGCCAAACCGAACAGAAGGAAGACACTTGGAAACCACGTCTAAAGATTTGACCAAGTCTCTTCTTGGTCAAGGGAAGATGTCCCGACCCCTGGGATGTGGCGCACAGTCAAATGCGCACTCTCCCAGGCCCCCACCATCAGGGTTAATGCACGCATGCCAAAAGCAGCAGGATTGCAAACTTATCTCTGCATACACAGTGCAGTCAGTGTGCAGCAAAGAGGAGAGCGGGATATGTTTTAACTAATATGTGTAGATTATCAAAAGTTCACTACTATACCACGTTACCTTTAGTATGATATCGGGTGGAATACAGTGGGTCAGGAGTTCATAGAGTCTACTTCTTATTTCCAGCAACCTGAAGAAAAATTGGTGAGTAAAAATAAACTTCACTGAAAAGGAGGCATAGAACTCGGATGGCTCATTAGTAATGTTGCTTAATTCTTAGACTACAAGTAGCTGCCCTCTGTCCTGAGTTTGAGTAGATGACAAACACTACTCATGTAATCACAATTACGATATCTCAAACAGGGCTGTCATTTTAATAGTTTTGAGTCACCTCTAACTTTGTTCTTCACACTCATAGCAAACTTGTTAATATGTGGGTAAATTGTATTGACAACAGGCAAGTTTACCTGTAGCATCACAGAAAAATCAAGCATACTCAGGCAAAACAGGTGTTACGGGTTACACCCCTCAATATTTTGCTAGTCCTTCTGGACCCCTGGAAGGGATGTTATACCAGCAACCATTTATACCTCTGACTGGAGAGGAATGAAGTGTCTTGTCTAAGCACACGACACAGTGTTCCCAGCCACCTAGACTGCACAATTTGGCCAAGTCCCACATGCTAAAGAACAGGCCATCAACTCTGAGTTTAGATTAAAAAAAAAAACCCCAGTAAATCTTAGTCCATAACAGCACCAAGAACAATTTATTTTCAGCTTTGGTGCCTCCATGCCTGATGAAAAGGTTACCTTAAGCTCCCTAACATCCTACTACCATACTGTATAGCTCCTTCCTTGGATACACCTTGTTTTTATAATGGGGGAGGAGAGGTGGGAAGGTGGCATGGGGGGGAGGGGATGGGTTGGGAGGTAGGGCAGGGGCAACTCTCTGTAATTTCCTCGGCCCACAACTGGTGAGGTACACCATGTGTGCATGTTTTATCTGGCTTTTTCAATTTAGAGGTGATCCTAATGAAGCTTCATAACTTATTAGTTATCACCTTACCTTTTGGGTGTTTGTTGCTCGACAATCTGCTGTGCTGTTTCTCTTAAATATACTTCCCAGTCTGCCTCTTGAACAGGTTGGTCAGGTGTGAATGGGTATCTATATACAAAATAGACGGTGTGTTTTCTTAACTGAATATAGTGCACAACAGCTATTAGAGCTATATTACTGTCATAAACTGCATTGTAATTAATTGCCATGCACATTGTGTTTGTACATACATGTACATGTAGCTGCAAACAATAAATTAGAGGTACACTGTAAATCATCATCCTGGCTGCAAATGTATGTATCTAAATTCTGATCTACTCTGCAAATATCAAGACTATAGTTATATATTTTTTTTGCTAACAATTCAGGTGCAAAACATACTGTTGAACTCTGCAAGCTTCACACATCAGCAAGGCCCTTCGTAAATTCCTGTTGGATTTCTCAGCAATTCTCTTGGAAAGTTCTGCTGGAAGACTAAGGCCCTCCTTTTTACAAACATTGTGCAATATTTGACTAATCTGCAGATAAAAAGAATTTATTATACACTCTTTTTTATGAGTATGTTTTATAAGAATATCCAGGCTGAAATTTGCGAAACTTTAAGAATATTTTAAGAATAAACCCAAGGTTAAGATTTTGAAAAGAATATAACTTTTTGTGTTGAAAATTTGCAAATACAATACAATTATATGTTTTTTGAATAAACCATATCAAATTCTTCCTTTCGCTAAATGGCAAAACTAGCCAAAAACCAACAAAAATAGCATTAGCCATATGTTTGATTAAAGTGCCTATAAACTGAAAAATAATTGCTGCTTATTTGAAAGGATTTGAAAGGCTTTCCAAAATACAGAAGAATGACATTTTCCTTTTTGGAATATCTTCTTCATTTTAGAGATATTGTCGTTTTTGTATTATTCAAATTAGGAAGCTGATGACGTCATCTGTTGTGCAACTAAAACGTTAAAATATCGAATAAAGAATATCTCTGAAAATATTGAAGCGGTGTTCTTCAAACTTGGCACCAGAAATGTACATCACAAAAGAAACAAAATTACACCTGTTGTGCTGTCACCATGACAACAGTTTTGCCACTGGTCCTGTCTTAATTAATTCCCTTCCCAGTTTTTGTCTTAACCAAGGATCATCTACTCCCAGCAATCTAATGAGGAGAGTTTAGACAATATGGAAACTATGTCTGTTCCGAGCAGGACCCTCTGTCTTACAAGGGTTGCAAATGGGGATATTTGTTTTTTGACAGAAAGGAACTTGAGAAAAGAGAGTTGCCATGGCAACAGCACTATTGGTGTCATTTTGTTTCTTTTACGGTGTACATTTCTGGTGCCAAGTTTGAAGAACACTGCTCCAATATTTCTAGAGATATTCTTTATTCAATATTTTACCGTTTTAGTTGCACAACTGATGACATCATCACTTTCCTAATTTGCGTAATACAAAAGCATCAAAATCTCTAAAACGAAAAAAAGATATTCCAAAAAGGAAAATGCCATTTATCTGTATTTTGAAAGTCTTTTAAATAAGCAGCAATTATTTTTCAGTTCATAGGCACTTTAAGCTGGGGGCAAAATCAATATTGCAAAATGTTTACCAAAGTAAGTACTCGCCAATACAGTTCTACATGTATCAAGCAAATTCTCATTATGCCCAATTGTTCATACAGTATGTGGTCAGGAGGTTTATTTGAAAGTACACCCAAAAAAACTTTGTTTGACTTTTTGCTATCAGGAAGTGATATTTCATGGGATTTCTTAGGATCCTGAGAGGGATCTGTACATTAAGCATAATTTCCAGAGATGAATATGATCAACAGACAACATGCACGTAAAGAGCTTAGACCTCCTCGACTGTAGGTGCTGCAACCCTGACTCCTAAACAACGGCTGCGAATGGCTGGAATAACTTTGCTTGTTGAGTTACAACACAGGATTAGTCGACATGTTGCTGTGTACTTCTCCATAGTCCTACGCAAAGAGTGTTGGGCATCCTTTGTAAGTCTGTCCACTTCTGTCAACACTACCACTGTAAAATAGTACAAATAGCAATGTGATATACATTTAATATTCCTAGTAAAACTAACTTACTGTACACTGAAAAATTCAACAATACACTGCAAGAGTTTGCTCAATACTAAGTACTTATTAACTAAGCACAAGGGCTGGACTGGAAAATATGTTTCAGTCCAGCCCGCTTTGACACAGTCCACAAGCATTTTATCACATGACCTTTGGCAACTGAAGTAGTTCTGCATTGAAAAGTTTGCTACAATAGTAAAATTTACTATCAGAATGTTCACTTTTATCACTCATTTTGAAGAAAACAATTCAATACAACAAAATTGTTTCTGTTATTAACTCCCACAAATTTTGAGGGACCATGTGAATTTCTAGTAAAGCTGTACACAGTTTACTGGCCCTATCACTTTGACATCTACAGCCCTAAAATGGGACCTTTCTTCTTATGTTTTTCCAAAGAAATGCTGCACTGGGCTCTATTTTTCTTTTCATCACTGTTCTCAAGTTTAATACAGCAGTAACACACTCAATACTTTATTGTTATTTATTCTTGTAACAATAAATTTTTGTGAACCCCACAATTGCCAGAAAATCAAGAAATCACAGACCTACCACTTCCATATTTTTTGAGAAATAAATTCCCACAAGAAAGATGGTTATAGCTATACTTAAATTTATTAAATTAAATTGGTAAAAAGCAATCTCTAACATGGGCAGAATCATCTTTCATATGTTATTTACCTTTAAATTCTTTCTGTGTTGATGATTCTAGCTGGTGTGATTGAGCGACAGTCTTGATAAGTTCCTGGATCACAACACGATCATGAATCCCTGCATCACTGAACACAAAACAAGAAAGAAAAACTTAAGACACATGAACAAAATAATGTACCGAGAAAATGCAATCCCATAGGGAGAAAAGAGAGAGTTAGCTGGATTGGTACCAGTGTTTAAGTCTGGTACATAATGTGTACAGATCTATAAACAACTGTAAAGTGACAAGAGTTATTGGTAGGACTTACACAGGACTAAAAAAAAACTTGAATTCCAGTTTGCCCTTTGGACAAGCAGCTCTCAAATGCTGCTTGCCCAGGGCAAGTCTTAGTTTACTTTATTTAGTTGGCAGACAACTTGCCTGGGATGTTCAGTGTTTCAGCCAGAAAATTTTACTTGAGGGCCAAAGTGGCCCCTGAAGACCTTTTTTAGGGGCCAATTTTTTAGGATAGGGGCCAATAAATTGAAAGCTACAGAAGGAAAAAATGCATCAGGGTACCAAGGAAAATAAAGCAGTTTATTAGGATCTATGACAAAATTTAATAAGTGCTTTTTACTCAATGAAGTTTCTTTTGAATCAGATACTAGTACGAAGGATCTCTGCATTACAAGAGAACAGTTCATAGGCATATATGATGTAGTCAATGATCAAGGGTTTTTAATGCATTATAGGGCGATTTCATACACGATCAGCGATTTGGGTGTTTTCTGTGAATCAATATTGCAGCAAAGCAAAAGGACAGATTGGCTTCAATTATTTTCTTATGTTGAATGTTTTAGAAGCAAAGATCTTAATATGATTTTCTAGAAGGACATAATGTATGACAAAATAGCCATTATTGATCGTCAACACAGAGAATGTGGTCGCCATTATGGCGACTAAACCAGAAGAATGAAATGTTAGCTGCATTGGCGACCGTATCGGTCGCAATTNAATCGTACCTTTTTGGCGCTCTACGGCGGTATATCAGGCTCGTTTAGCCTCCAGGAACAAGGGTATTTTCGAAGCGAACTTACTCTATATTCCGGCGAAACGTAGCAAAAAGGTATGATTAGACACTAGAAATGCGAGCTTGAAGTTCATGGCGTCTTAACGAAGAGTGATCGTCAGGAGTTTCATTGAGGGTCGGGCACCAGACAAATTGACCGGCTGTGAGAACGGTTTTGCCCGCCTGGTTTGATCATGTAAAGGACAGTTTTTCTTGTAAAGAAGTTCAGTTCAAAAAGTTTTCCCCACCTGTGAAAACCAGTTGCCCTCCATCTGAAATCGCTATTGAATCATCGTAGGATATTTTCTAAACCTTTCATCATTTTCCCAGAACAGCCCTCGCGATTAGAATAACTTACAACTATTGAACAAAGCAAGTGAGTGACTTCAATTGTTTAAGTCCAAACTGTTCGTTTATTGCTTCATACTTTTCCTCCGCCTCATTACAATGTACAGCCGTTACTTCGGCAAGCTGTGGTTTTACCAATTCAAATGTCACCAAAAGCTAATCTGTTCTCTTAGAAGAACTCGGCCATCCCTTCCTCCAGGAACCGCTTGTAGATACTCATAAACTTGGCTACAAACGCTTCAAGATGGTAGATGGCTTTGTTTCCTTGGTGAACACGATGTTCATAGTGAGCAGCCATGTTTGTTACTTCAGTCTTCAGACTGCCATCACAGTTGGTCACCAGTTCAGTTATCAAACCCTGCAAAACCAAGAAATGTTTGTTATAGGTATAGCAACTAGACCGGTTTTCAGGTGATTGTCGGAAAACCAAAAACAAAGAAATGGCCTATTATAAGAAACGCAAACAGCCTGATGAACACGAAGCAATTACACGCACCTGGTGCAAGATGCGGAAAAACCAGCTTGACTACTAATTGGCTTTCGTTTTATGGACCTATCATTGTGAATCCACCCCAAGGGATCGCCCTGCGGGGGAAGGGGGGGGGGAGGCAATGTGGGGAAGGGGTTGGGATGTCACCACTTTGTGCAACTCATGTACGTAAGAAGCTTCAAAACCCACACACCTTACTGAGGTTGTGCCAAACCGAACAGAAGGAAGACACTTGGAAACCACGTCTAAAGATTTGACCAAGTCTCTTCTTGGTCAAGGGAAGATGTCCCGACCCCTGGGATGTGGCGCACAGTCAAATGCGCACTCTCCCAGGCCCCCACCATCAGGGTTAATGCACGCATGCCAAAAGCAGCAGGATTGCAAACTTATCTCTGCATACACAGTGCAGTCAGTGTGCAGCAAAGAGGAGAGCGGGATATGTTTTAACTAATATGTGTAGATTATCAAAAGTTCACTACTATACCACGTTACCTTTAGTATGATATCGGGTGGAATACAGTGGGTCAGGAGTTCATAGAGTCTACTTCTTATTTCCAGCAACCTGAAGAAAAATTGGTGAGTAAAAATAAACTTCACTGAAAAGGAGGCATAGAACTCGGATGGCTCATTAGTAATGTTGCTTAATTCTTAGACTACAAGTAGCTGCCCTCTGTCCTGAGTTTGAGTAGATGACAAACACTACTCATGTAATCACAATTACGATATCTCAAACAGGGCTGTCATTTTAATAGTTTTGAGTCACCTCTAACTTTGTTCTTCACACTCATAGCAAACTTGTTAATATGTGGGTAAATTGTATTGACAACAGGCAAGTTTACCTGTAGCATCACAGAAAAATCAAGCATACTCAGGCAAAACAGGTGTTACGGGTTACACCCCTCAATATTTTGCTAGTCCTTCTGGACCCCTGGAAGGGATGTTATACCAGCAACCATTTATACCTCTGACTGGAGAGGAATGAAGTGTCTTGTCTAAGCACACGACACAGTGTTCCCAGCCACCTAGACTGCACAATTTGGCCAAGTCCCACATGCTAAAGAACAGGCCATCAACTCTGAGTTTAGATTAAAAAAAAAAACCCCAGTAAATCTTAGTCCATAACAGCACCAAGAACAATTTATTTTCAGCTTTGGTGCCTCCATGCCTGATGAAAAGGTTACCTTAAGCTCCCTAACATCCTACTACCATACTGTATAGCTCCTTCCTTGGATACACCTTGTTTTTATAATGGGGGAGGAGAGGTGGGAAGGTGGCATGGGGGGGAGGGGATGGGTTGGGAGGTAGGGCAGGGGCAACTCTCTGTAATTTCCTCGGCCCACAACTGGTGAGGTACACCATGTGTGCATGTTTTATCTGGCTTTTTCAATTTAGAGGTGATCCTAATGAAGCTTCATAACTTATTAGTTATCACCTTACCTTTTGGGTGTTTGTTGCTCGACAATCTGCTGTGCTGTTTCTCTTAAATATACTTCCCAGTCTGCCTCTTGAACAGGTTGGTCAGGTGTGAATGGGTATCTATATACAAAATAGACGGTGTGTTTTCTTAACTGAATATAGTGCACAACAGCTATTAGAGCTATATTACTGTCATAAACTGCATTGTAATTAATTGCCATGCACATTGTGTTTGTACATACATGTACATGTAGCTGCAAACAATAAATTAGAGGTACACTGTAAATCATCATCCTGGCTGCAAATGTATGTATCTAAATTCTGATCTACTCTGCAAATATCAAGACTATAGTTATATATTTTTTTTGCTAACAATTCAGGTGCAAAACATACTGTTGAACTCTGCAAGCTTCACACATCAGCAAGGCCCTTCGTAAATTCCTGTTGGATTTCTCAGCAATTCTCTTGGAAAGTTCTGCTGGAAGACTAAGGCCCTCCTTTTTACAAACATTGTGCAATATTTGACTAATCTGCAGATAAAAAGAATTTATTATACACTCTTTTTTATGAGTATGTTTTATAAGAATATCCAGGCTGAAATTTGCGAAACTTTAAGAATATTTTAAGAATAAACCCAAGGTTAAGATTTTGAAAAGAATATAACTTTTTGTGTTGAAAATTTGCAAATACAATACAATTATATGTTTTTTGAATAAACCATATCAAATTCTTCCTTTCGCTAAATGGCAAAACTAGCCAAAAACCAACAAAAATAGCATTAGCCATATGTTTGATTAAAGTGCCTATAAACTGAAAAATAATTGCTGCTTATTTGAAAGGATTTGAAAGGCTTTCCAAAATACAGAAGAATGACATTTTCCTTTTTGGAATATCTTCTTCATTTTAGAGATATTGTCGTTTTTGTATTATTCAAATTAGGAAGCTGATGACGTCATCTGTTGTGCAACTAAAACGTTAAAATATCGAATAAAGAATATCTCTGAAAATATTGAAGCGGTGTTCTTCAAACTTGGCACCAGAAATGTACATCACAAAAGAAACAAAATTACACCTGTTGTGCTGTCACCATGACAACAGTTTTGCCACTGGTCCTGTCTTAATTAATTCCCTTCCCAGTTTTTGTCTTAACCAAGGATCATCTACTCCCAGCAATCTAATGAGGAGAGTTTAGACAATATGGAAACTATGTCTGTTCCGAGCAGGACCCTCTGTCTTACAAGGGTTGCAAATGGGGATATTTGTTTTTTGACAGAAAGGAACTTGAGAAAAGAGAGTTGCCATGGCAACAGCACTATTGGTGTCATTTTGTTTCTTTTACGGTGTACATTTCTGGTGCCAAGTTTGAAGAACACTGCTCCAATATTTCTAGAGATATTCTTTATTCAATATTTTACCGTTTTAGTTGCACAACTGATGACATCATCACTTTCCTAATTTGCGTAATACAAAAGCATCAAAATCTCTAAAACGAAAAAAAGATATTCCAAAAAGGAAAATGCCATTTATCTGTATTTTGAAAGTCTTTTAAATAAGCAGCAATTATTTTTCAGTTCATAGGCACTTTAAGCTGGGGGCAAAATCAATATTGCAAAATGTTTACCAAAGTAAGTACTCGCCAATACAGTTCTACATGTATCAAGCAAATTCTCATTATGCCCAATTGTTCATACAGTATGTGGTCAGGAGGTTTATTTGAAAGTACACCCAAAAAAACTTTGTTTGACTTTTTGCTATCAGGAAGTGATATTTCATGGGATTTCTTAGGATCCTGAGAGGGATCTGTACATTAAGCATAATTTCCAGAGATGAATATGATCAACAGACAACATGCACGTAAAGAGCTTAGACCTCCTCGACTGTAGGTGCTGCAACCCTGACTCCTAAACAACGGCTGCGAATGGCTGGAATAACTTTGCTTGTTGAGTTACAACACAGGATTAGTCGACATGTTGCTGTGTACTTCTCCATAGTCCTACGCAAAGAGTGTTGGGCATCCTTTGTAAGTCTGTCCACTTCTGTCAACACTACCACTGTAAAATAGTACAAATAGCAATGTGATATACATTTAATATTCCTAGTAAAACTAACTTACTGTACACTGAAAAATTCAACAATACACTGCAAGAGTTTGCTCAATACTAAGTACTTATTAACTAAGCACAAGGGCTGGACTGGAAAATATGTTTCAGTCCAGCCCGCTTTGACACAGTCCACAAGCATTTTATCACATGACCTTTGGCAACTGAAGTAGTTCTGCATTGAAAAGTTTGCTACAATAGTAAAATTTACTATCAGAATGTTCACTTTTATCACTCATTTTGAAGAAAACAATTCAATACAACAAAATTGTTTCTGTTATTAACTCCCACAAATTTTGAGGGACCATGTGAATTTCTAGTAAAGCTGTACACAGTTTACTGGCCCTATCACTTTGACATCTACAGCCCTAAAATGGGACCTTTCTTCTTATGTTTTTCCAAAGAAATGCTGCACTGGGCTCTATTTTTCTTTTCATCACTGTTCTCAAGTTTAATACAGCAGTAACACACTCAATACTTTATTGTTATTTATTCTTGTAACAATAAATTTTTGTGAACCCCACAATTGCCAGAAAATCAAGAAATCACAGACCTACCACTTCCATATTTTTTGAGAAATAAATTCCCACAAGAAAGATGGTTATAGCTATACTTAAATTTATTAAATTAAATTGGTAAAAAGCAATCTCTAACATGGGCAGAATCATCTTTCATATGTTATTTACCTTTAAATTCTTTCTGTGTTGATGATTCTAGCTGGTGTGATTGAGCGACAGTCTTGATAAGTTCCTGGATCACAACACGATCATGAATCCCTGCATCACTGAACACAAAACAAGAAAGAAAAACTTAAGACACATGAACAAAATAATGTACCGAGAAAATGCAATCCCATAGGGAGAAAAGAGAGAGTTAGCTGGATTGGTACCAGTGTTTAAGTCTGGTACATAATGTGTACAGATCTATAAACAACTGTAAAGTGACAAGAGTTATTGGTAGGACTTACACAGGACTAAAAAAAAACTTGAATTCCAGTTTGCCCTTTGGACAAGCAGCTCTCAAATGCTGCTTGCCCAGGGCAAGTCTTAGTTTACTTTATTTAGTTGGCAGACAACTTGCCTGGGATGTTCAGTGTTCCAGCCAGAAAATTTTACTTGAGGGCCAAAGTGGCCCCTGAAGACCTTTTTTAGGGGCCAATTTTTTAGGATAGGGGCCAATAAATTGAAAGCTACAGAAGGAAAAAATGCATCAGGGTACCAAGGAAAATAAAGCAGTTTATTAGGATCTATGACAAAATTTAATAAGTGCTTTTTACTCAATGAAGTTTCTTTTGAATCAGATACTAGTACGAAGGATCTCTGCATTACAAGAGAACAGTTCATAGGCATATATGATGTAGTCAATGATCAAGGGTTTTTAATGCATTATAGGGCGATTTCATACACGATCAGCGATTTGGGTGTTTTCTGTGAATCAATATTGCAGCAAAGCAAAAGGACAGATTGGCTTCAATTATTTTCTTATGTTGAATGTTTTAGAAGCAAAGATCTTAATATGATTTTCTAGAAGGACATAATGTATGACAAAATAGCCATTATTGATCGTCAACACAGAGAATGTGGTCGCCATTATGGCGACTAAACCAGAAGAATGAAATGTTAGCTGCATTGGCGACCGTATCGGTCGCAATTTCTAACCCTGGGATGGCTTTTAAAATACTATGCCTGTGTTAATCTCGAAGTCTTGTAAAAGGAAAGGGCCAAATTGGCCCTTTTCTCGTTTTTCTGGGGGCCATCTCTGATTACAGCACGGGATTCCCACAATGGCGCACTCTGGCGGAAACACTGATGTTGCACATTGGGCAAGTGAGAGTAAAACGTTACTTGCCAGCGGGCAAATCTACTTGCCCTGGACAACCAGACGGCACTTTTATTGAACCCTGCTTACACTTCCTGGATGAAATATAATTTGTTTACGTGTAGGTTGACAAGTAGCCTTGTTTAAAAGCAAAACAAATGTTACCTTGGATTTATCTCTAAGTGATAAGCACTGCCAATTGTCGACATTTCAATTTTCTTCTTTGAAGGAGTCTGATTAAAAAAGAAAATGACACTGTTAGAAACTGTAAGTTATATTAAATGCTTGTTCTAAAAAATCACACAAAGCATTATTTTGTATTATAATAATCAGTAGCACTAGTTTACCAGCTTATCAAATGAATGTCAAGTTTTTTGGAAATGTTAACATAATGGCACTGCATTCATGAGTGATACAAAATGAAAGATAAACCATAAAAAAGAGACATGTTTTAAACACGCCATGGCAATCGAATAGCGCTCTGGTTAGCCTATACAAATAGTGCTTAGGTTAGCCTCAATATCACTGACTCGACAGTTGTTAGCTCTTAACAACATCAAGGGTTGACCCTTACAGACACCCATATCCCACACTGACTCTCAATTGTAGTGCCATTTTGTCATTTTGTCATTTTGCCATTTCATGTTATAAACACACCTCAGCTACCACATACAAGTCATTTGGCAAACACTAAATCTGCATATTTCCCTCTTATTTACAGAAAAGACCTAGTGGGAGATTTGTTCACCTGTGTGAAAGAAATTAATTCAGCAGCCATAAGAATTGATAAATTGTTTTGAATTTTCCATTCACTTGTCTGAACATTTTCTGTGAAGAATGTAAACCTACACCAAACTCAAAAGGATTTGAAAATGGGAAAGATTTACACACAAAACCTGTGTGCACAATTTCTACTAAGACTACAGCAGTATCTGAGATTTGCACACCAAAAGACTGATGAAAATAATACAATAATTAACAAATTGATGTCAGTTTTTCATGTGTTTGTCCTGTTATTGATCATGAATTTCGTCATAACATTGTCAAAGTAGTCTGTGGATCCACTTGGCTATCACCTCATGGATCCACAGCTACTTTGACAATGTAATAACGAAATTCATGATCAACAACAGGACAGACGCATTAAAAACCGACATCAATTTGTTTTTTTTATGATAACAAATTGTCAAATTGTTTGCTCTCGCTCGTTAATGCATTGCATAAATTATAAATTCATGTGTCTGTCCGCTTATTGAAAATAAAAATTAGCCAATGAGAGCGCAAGAATTTCTACAGTTATCGTAGAACATTAGATTGATGACAGTGTCCGTCTACCTAACAAAATGCATAACCTCCCAAACTCATGACAAGGACTGTACAATGTAGACACTCACAGTGAAACTCTGTTGTTCAATCTTTAATTTCTCCACACCAGCACCATAGAGCTCTCTAAGTATGCACATTATCCTTGTCTTTTTCCCAGCCCCTGAAGGGCCATAAACTAGCAAATGTGGGAAATCTCCACAATGCACCTAAGGACATAACAACAAGTGCCTTGTAATCAAAAACAGATAATTAAAATAAATTATAGATGTACATCTTTTTTGTTTAACAACAAAGAGGAGTCGAAACAACGCAACCCAACAAGCAAGCTTCAAGGACATCAGGAATCAAGTGTTCTCGCAAACACTAGACACTACACGACAGCAAAAGATAACTTACCAGTTTTTTTAAATGAGTTGCAAGCTCCTTGTGATAATCTAGTTTTGACAAGGAAGTTGGACGATATTTATCCACCCATAGACTCATGTTATCGACTGAAAATTTGCCAAATCACCAAAGATGCATGCAGAAAAATGAACGAAGATGGCGGACAAAATTTTCGCGCCAAACGAAAACATTGAGCCTGCGATTACTTTCAAACCCAGTCCTCCGCGAATCGTCCGCCACACATTCCCTCCAAAAATATGAATTCATTTGCATTCATTTACAATTTAATGTCCAGGAAAAATCCAGAAGCTTAGCAGCTCTCGTAAGCTTCAAATTTTTCCATTATCATTTTAGCAGCTGTTATTGTTTTAGGGCTAGGGGCATTGTTTCTTTTGTTTTTGTTCTATTGTTCCCTTTTTGTATCAAGCAATTCACTGTGAGACCAGTACGGGCCCTCCTACCACGATAATATAACCACCCATTTAAGAAATAAAAAGCATGTACCGTGTTTCTACCGAGTTATAGAAACACGAGTGGAAGTTTGGGAGAACGAGAAATGCTGTGGGAACACGAGCCGCAGGCAAGCGTTTCCACAGCTTTTTCGAGTTCTCTCAAACTTTCACGAGCGTTATTGTAACTCGATAGAAACATGGAGAAGATGTTTTCTTTATCTTTTAGAAAACACCGCGACGAAAAAAAGGAAAACAACTTGTTAACTTCGATTTTCTTTGCTCGCGCCATCATTACGTCAACAGCTTGTGCTAGTTCTGTGTTTCTATGTGTTTCTGTGTTTCCGCATTCCAAAGCAGCTCTTCTACGGGCAACTCTGCTCTGGCAAGCGCGCAGTTGGAGGGCAACGAAAGCGCTACAAGGACGGTCTAAGAGTCTCCTTAAAAGACTTCAACATCAGCACTGAGTCCTGGGAGTCTCTTGCCTCCGACAGACCCTCCTGGCGCCAACTCATCACCAAAGGAGCCCACGCAGCAGAGAAACGTAGGTCCCGTCAAGCCGAGGAGAAGCGAGCAGTACGCAAGGAAAGAGCCGCCAGCACTAACAGCACAGCCCCTACCCACTTCTGCCCTACCTGTGGGAGAGGCTTCCTTGCCCGGATTGGTCTCATCAGCCACCTCCGGACACACCGTAGAAATTTATTAACAAGCTAGATGTCTTTGGTCATCTACTCATCTTCGACTACGAAGGACGAACAACATCGAGTTTTAGTATAAATCTACTAACGTTCTATAACGAATGCCGTTGATTGGCTACGCTACTCACTATCTATTCAGCGATAGATAGTGAGTGGCGTAGCAGCGTGTCCTTGTTGATAAAATTACGGCCGCTTCTTGGCCTTTTCGAAGTGTCTGTGAAGAGGATTTAGATTAAGTTTTGAACGACTAATAGATTTATACTGAAACAATTAGATTATTCCCTCGAGATTTCTATCGCTCGATAGTTGACTCGGGCTCATAATCTAATTGTTTAATAGAAACACGATTTTTAACCAATCAGCGCGCGTATTTTTGTTAGGACTGTTTTCTAAATATATATAACCAATCGGCCATTTACTAATATTGCATGTGTAGATCTGTGTATCAGAGTGAGAGCGGATTAACTGGACACTGCCGTATTTCGATTTGTAGGACTTCAGGACCTTCAGGTATCAGAGGTAAGTTTAGATGAGACTGTGGTACATGGTCACGAGCCCCTCTGCATTTCTACCATTTGCTTGTTAAAAAGTTCAGTACACCAGTCCACCATTGTCCTCTACGGAACGGTGACCGAATTTATTGCAAAGAAAGTAATGAACAGGAAACATTAAGGGAAAAAACTCTTTTTTGCAAGTTATATGATCGAGTTTTAAAAGCGCCGGCTGTACCTTTTACGAACAATGATGTCAGTGGAATAGCTCATAGCGCACGCTAATTCATTCATAAGAATTAAGTATTTATTTACTTTTTTGGCGCCGATAGCGTTATAACCCCCTTTTGTTAATTAAACGGAGCTCTGCGTTCTCAAGGGCAAGTTGAACCCCTGCCCTGTCGCACCAGGGGTGGTAAATGGTCCTTCATAAACCAGGGGTGTTCAAAAGTTTTGGTCGAATTTCTCGGGTCTTGCATTCTTCTTTTTTCTTTAGCGGTTATGCGCGTCTCGCAGTTCCGATTTTTATACGAAGCTGTCTCTCAGTCTCGATTTTTTGCAAGGCTAAGAAAGTCTCGAAGTACCGATTTGTTACTGTCCGTCTTCTTGCAAAGTCACTAATTCAGGCTACTCACAGTCAACCCTCAGACAGTCTGTCACCGTCAATCTGAGTGATGATCTGGGCACTTTTTTTTATTGGTTTATGGCTAGGGGTATTGTTTCCTTTTGTTTTTGGTCTATTGTTCCCGTAAAGGGTATCAAGCCATTCATGTGAAACCTTACCGGAGCTGCTACATGACACGAAAAATCGGCGCCCGCTACGATAATAACCGCCCTTATATATAAAACCACTCATCCATTTACTAATTATTTAGTGTGCAGATCTGCGTATCAGAGTGAGAGCGGATTAACCTGCACTGTTTATTTGGATTTGTATGAACTTCAGAGTCTTCAGGCATCAGAGGTAAGTTTACATGTTACTGTAGCACAGAGTCACAAAACCTGCTGCATTTCTACTATTTGCATGTTAAAAGATCAATACCATTTGCATGTTAAAAGTCAATATAGCGAGGTGGCTGTTTTCATCGATCTCTACAGAACGGCGAAATTGATTCCAAAGACAGTAATAAGCAGGAAACATTAAGGGAAAAAACTCTTTCTTTGCAACTCCTCTCATCCAAATTTTTTAAAAGCGTCTGCTGTACCTTTTACGAACAATGATTTTAGTGGAATAGTTCAAAGCCCGCGCTAATTTATTTATTAGAATTAAGTATTTATTCACTTTTTTGGCGCCAAAATTTATTTTTATTGTCGCTAACGCCGTAAACTGCCTTTTGTTAGTTAAACGGAGCTCTGCCTTCTCAAAGGCAAGTCGAACCCCTGCGCTGTCGCACCAGGGGTGGCAATTGGTCCTTCATAAACCGTGGCTCTCACGAATTTTTCGTCGAATTTCACGGGTCTTGCATTGTCGTTATGTACGTCTCGCAGTCTCGATTTTTTGCAAGGCTAAGAAAGTGACGAAGTACTGATTCGTTTGTTTGTTTTTAAATATTAATTACAACGGAATGTCTTATAGAGTCGGAACGTGTCGCACTCGCATTTACAACACTTTTAAGGCTCGTTTCAGCAGTTTAAAAAGTCATGTCTCGGACTCGCAATTGCAAAGAAAAGCGCTAGTATCCGCCTTCTTGCAAATTCTCGTCTGTCATCATCAATGTGGGTGGTGATCTGGGCACTTTTTTGGTATCATGATTCTAGAATCAACTGATAGACAGCGTTTTTTTATTAATAGCTTATAATGACACATAAAAATTTAACTCTTGCAATTGAGAAGTGTTGGAAACTGTTTTGAGCTACCTTAAGCTTGAGGCGATTTCATTGTCGAGCGCGCGAGTTATATATTAAATTTCAGTCCTTGGAAAGAGACAGAAGATTTCTTATTGTTAGTTCCACTGACTGAATAGGGTACTGGAGTTTCTAGTATAGTAATTGTGGATTTGATTATTGAATCTTTATAATCTCAGCCCCATGGATATATTTTTCAGATTTTCACCATGCAATAAAACTGCAGCCAATGGATTCAAACTACGATCGCCTGGAGTCAGAACCAAGACAGAAGGAAAATCCCAGGAAAAGCGCCAACATCTTTTCTATTCTTTTCTTCTGGTGGGTGAGAGAGATTTTTGCCATTGGCCAAAAGCGTCCTCTGGAAAACGATGATATGTTTCCTTTACTTGACGAGGACAAAACTCAAACATCGACTGAAAAACTTTACAAGACATGGAATGACGAAACAAATCCCGCCTCAAACAAAGGAAGAAATGGACATCGATTGCTGAAAGCGCTTTTCCGAGCCTTTCCCTTTAGCGATTACATGTTCATTTTGAGTGTAGGTTTGTTACCTGCTGTTTGTAATGTACTTCAGCCCGTGTTCCTGAGTTTGCTTTTACCGGAATTAATGAACTCTCATGTTAAAGACTCCTCCTGGGCTTATGTCTACGCTACTGGGATCTGTATGAGCTCTTTCGTGCGAGCTATTTGTCATCACCAGTCTGGTTATTATACACAATTAATGACCCTTAGATGGAAATCAGCAACTATTGGAATCGTTTACAAAAAGGTGAGGGAAGCGCCAACAGGACTAATGTAGAAAGAAAACAAGAATCGTTGTAGTATTAATTGTACATTAATCGCACGCGAGGTCGGTATTAAGCTGTTATCAGTCCGAGGTCTGCATGACAGTGTGGTCGGTACAAAAATGACGGTACTCGATCGACATCCCGATCGATACTTGGTCGACACTTGATCAACACTCGGTTGAGTGTCGACCGACCTATATCCATCGGTCGAAAATTAGTCGACTGTCTACCGACTGTCCACCGAGATGTCGATGGAGTGTCGATCGAAGGTATCGATCGAAGGTATCGTTTGACATCCGACCGCGGATGCCATAGGTACACATGATCCGCCATTTCTTCATCCTGGATAACTTTACTTCGGAACAGGGGGAAAGGAGGGAGGGCGAAAGAAGAAAACTACAGCTGGGATAATTGTGACAAATAGTACTCGGTAACATTTTTAAAGCAAGGTTTTGAGCCTGAAATTCCCGGTACAAGGGGAAAGTGTCTTTATCTATATTGACCATGATGAGTGGCTGGCAAGTTTAGAAAGATGCGTTATACGTTGCAAGCCTGTAGCTTTCTCTTCATTTTGCAGGTTCTCCGTCTAAGCCGAGCAGATATATCGAATGTAACAAGTGGATTTGTCATCAATCTAATCGCTTCAGACTTGCAACGCTTTGAGAAAACGGTTGTGCACGCAGTATATATAATTCAAGCCACTTTGGAGGTGTGTAGTATCTCGTTTTTAATGTACTACTTGTTTGGCTTTAGACCCTTGACTGGCGTGCTGTTTCTATTGACCGTTGCACTGTATTATGGTATGATGGGAAAAGCTTGCGCTATGTTAAGATCAAAAATTTCAAAAATGGCAGATCAGCGTGTTAATATCATGAACTCCATCATCTCTGGAATTCGCACGGTCAAGATGTATGCCTGGGAGTGCCCATTCATGGAAAGAGTGCAAAGGATACGAAGGTAAGAGGAACCAAGTTAATAAGACGTTCTAGGGTTCAGTTAGTTTTCACACTCGGACACGCACATTAATATGCAGTTTCCGAATATTATCTTTAACCTCTTTCTAAAAGTGAATTTTGGCGCTCATCCTGTTAGATGAAAAGGAGATTTCATTCACATGCAAATTAAACTCATTTTCATATGAATGGCTGTGTAAAATTTTAGTTATTAATTACTGTTGTGATGCGCTTTTGAATATTTTATAGAAAAGGCGCAATACAAATAATAAATGTTATTGTTATTGTTAACCAGGCCTCGCTTTGATAGAGAGGACTAGAGCAACTCTAAAATGGGCCATTTTAGATTTTGTTCATACCAAGCTCGCTTGAATTGTTTCCCTCTAGCTTATCATCACACGCGCTTTTCCCAACATTAATCATTTACTTATCATCCTTGAATCCATAATGGAGCAAAAAGTCATGCAGGGAAAAAATTTAACAACAATAAGATAAATCTAAAACAACACACATTCTCTCCTAATCCTTTAGTTAACAAGATATTAATTGTTTTCTCGTAGCCAGGAACTCAAGCTAATCAGATGGAAAACCATAATACAGGCAACCTTTGCATCTCTTCACTACACGTGTACACCAGTAGCTGCTTTCATCTCCTTGGTTACCATGGCAGCCATGGGGACTGAACTCACCTCATACAATACTTTCATGATTTTATCGATGATAAGTATGCTTAGGATTACAATCTCATGGAACTTTTCTGATGGTGTGAACGTTTTAGCAGATTTTTTAACAGCCTTGGGTCGTATCCAGGGTATACTTGAATATGGCGATGACAACATACACCAATACCTACAGGACACTTTCGCTAAAAGTAGAAAAGAGAAGTTTCACAGTACACACTTCGCCAACAGTATTGATTCTGCAGGCTTTGATGAAATCACTGAAAATGATGTTCACCATCACAAAAATTCCACCATTGTGATGGAAAATGTCGTCTGCAGTTGGAATGGCAATTGGAATATACCCTGTTTGAAATCTCTGAATTTGTCAGTAGACAAAGGTGACTTGGCTTTTATCACTGGTCGGGTTGGTGCTGGAAAGTCATCTTTACTGTATGCCATTCTACGTGAAATTCCTCTCATCAACGGCAAAACATCGAGTGTTGGAAAAATAGCCTGGGTTGGTCAGCAGCCCTGGGTGTTCTCTGGTACCGTGCGGGACAATGTGCTGTTTGGCGAGCCATTTGACCCGAAAAGATACGATTTGACATTACACGTCTGTGACCTGATCAAAGACTTGCAAAGGTTTCCAGATGGTGACATGACTGTTGTTGGAGAACGTGGGACAGTCCTGAGTGGTGGTCAGCAGGCTCGTGTTGAATTGGCACGCGCAGTGTATTCCAATGCAGATATCTATCTACTGGATGATCCACTGAGTGCAGTGGACTCAAAGGTGGGGCATGATATCTTTGAAAGGTGCATCAATGGCTTATTGGACAACAAAACTCGGCTGATGATCACTCATAACCTCGCGGTCCTGCGTGATGCTAAACACATTGTAGTAATGGAAGAAGGCTCCATTTCGGCAAAAGGCCGCTTTTCGACATTATGTGCATCTGGTTTTGACCTAGATGCCATCGTCCAAGGTGCTGGACAGAACCCTGTTACTGCGCAGATGGAAAAGCGACTAAGTCAGGGCATATTGGAGAATGAAGTTAAGTCAGAGCAAGAATATGCCAGACTGGAAATTGCTGAAGAAGATCGCGTGATTGGTTCTGTATCGTGGAAATTATACTGGCACTACATCCAAGCTGGACTGCACTGTATTCTGGCTATAGCTTTGGCTACTTTTTTCTTTATCGTTCAAGGTTGGTTGATGTGCTTAGCCTAAAAAGCTCTTTATACTTTTGTTCTTTTTCTACTGTTAATTTTCTTGGTTTATTTTTTGTTTTTTTTTTTAGGATCGCTCATACTTCCTGATTGGTGGCTACTTCATCTGACACGTCAATCACATGACCGGCAGCAGCAGACGGAGAATCTCTACGTCTATGGTGGACTGGTGGCTGCGGCATTAATTTTGTCAATCATCAGAGCGGGAGCATTTTTCAACGCAGCGATAAACTCCTCGAAGCACCTTCACAACTCGATGCTACTAGCAGTCTTAAAAGCTCCGGTTTTGTTCTTCGACACTAATCCTGTTGGACGAATTTTAAACCGGTTTTCTCGAGATATTGGCATCATGGATGAGTTGTTACCAGATATTTTCATGGAAGCTGTACAAGTGGTTCTGTTCTGTATTGGAGCAGTTGTTCTTCCGTCCATCCTAAACCCCTGGATTATCCTGCCGGCCACCCCGCTCATTATCATTTTTATTCTGCTTGGGCGTTATTATCTCACAACGGCACGTGATGTGAGGCGACTGGAAGGAATAAATCGAAGCCCAGTCCTTTCTCATTTTAGCGACTCGTTGATGGGAATGGTGACTGTTCGGGCGTATAAGAGGGAAGATGCATTTCTTAAAACGTTGTACAGGTTTGAATTTATAATTTTCCTATTTTTGTCTTTGTAAAACATATGTAGGGGTATCGAATGGTCCCATTCAATTTAAAAGTGCTCGCAAAATTTGGCTTTTGCTCGAATGGCTCGCAAAAATTAGATGAGTGCTCGCTTGCTCGCTGATTCTCGTTAAAATGTGTTCGATTGCTCCAAGTTTGGTGAATCCTACTTCAAGGTCTGGTAGCTTTTAGCTTCTTCTCATGGTGTGTTCACCACGTTGGGTTACTTGTTGGGTTAGAAAACTTTAGATCTCCTTGAGCTCCACCCTCTGACTCACGTGAAGCTATGTGACGTAATTTGGCATCAAACAGCATCAAACGAACAAGGCGTAATTGGAGGTAAGTTGCGGGGATTGGTTGAACTGAGATAAGATCTCCATGTTTTGCCTAGTTTTGCGCCCACTGCCCTGTTTTGGAGGTGTCAGCCAGATTACTTAGCGTAAAAAAAGTTTCCTTTTCTAAAACAAATAAGAGATTCCGGTTAGCGCAAAATTTACGAAGTTCTCGCTGCTCGCCATATGTATTTTCTAGATTGCTCTATAGTTCTTTTTAGCAGCAGATTTTATTGGGAATTAGTATGAATCTTCAAGCGTTCTATCACGAATGCCGTTTTCAGACTGGCTACGCCACCCACTATCCATTCTTTGATAGGTAGTGAGTAGCGTAGCAATGTGCCCTTGCTAACAAAATAACGGCCACTTCTTCGTATTTTCGAAGTGTCTGTGAAGAGGATTTCGATAAAGTTTTGAACGACTAGTAGATTTATACTAAAACAATTAGATTATTCGCTCTTGATTTCTATGCGTGATAGTTGACGAGGGCGCAGCCCTCGTCAACGATAGAAATCTCGAGCTCAGAATCTAATTGTTTTTTAGTATAAATCTACTAGCGTTCTATCAGGAATGCCGTTCTCTGATTGGCTAAGCTACTCACGTTCTATTCTGTGATAGATAGTGAGTAGCGTAGCAGCGTGCGCTGGGGGCCGCTTTTTTGTGTTTTCGGATTGTCTGTGAAGAGGATTTAGATTAAAGTTTTGAACGTCTAGTAGATTTATACTAAAACAATTAGATTATTCGCTCTCGATTTCTATGCGTGATAGTTGACTCGGGCTGCACCCTCGTCAACTATCACGCGATAGAAATCTCGAGCTCACAATCTAACTGTTTATTAGTATGTTAATTGGAAGCACAATAAATTTACATAGGGTGAACTCCTGATAACTCGAGTCCTCGGCAGCTCGATTTATTTACTATTATTTTCTTATTTATTTATTTTCAGATATCAAGATGATCATAATCAGACCTGGTTTTTGATCATTTCTACCATGAGGTGGTTAGGTGTCTGTCTTGACATGATCTGCGTTGTTTTCGTGGCTTTTGTAGTATTTCTTGCTATAGCTACCCAGTCTGGTTCAGGTAAAAAAGAATTGTTACCAGCGCATTAAAAAAAAATGCAAAACAATACTGTTAGGCCCCTAGACCCCTCAAGAAACCTCATGGTTTGCCAGTAAATTTGGTATTTTCTTCAAGTTGAGACATGGGCAGAAAATTTTAATAAAGTTAACTGTGTGCCATTCGTAAAGATAAAAAACAGTAGGTGCGAGAAGGTGTTTGTAGAAGTCATACCATGCAAGCGAAATACATATACATGTTGTTACGTATGTTTTAAAACCTGTGAATCACGAATTTGATTAATTATATTAACGAGTGTCCAAAAGCTTCAAGTCTTAACTGATTCGGTTTATTGGTATTCGTTTTTAGGCATTACAGCTTTGTCACTGATCTACACCCTCCAGCTAGCAGTAGATACGTCACAGTATGGCGTCAGAACCTGCTCAGAGGTTGAAAATTACATGACATCTGTCGAACGCATCATCACATACACTCACATTAATCAAGAGCCTGGGTACGAATGCCATCACCAACCTCCACAGAGTTGGCCAAATCACGGTCAAGTAGCAATTAAGAATCTGAGCTTAGTATACTACCAGGATGGACCAGACATACTTAAAGATATTACTTTTAGCGTTAATTCAAACGAGAAAATTGGAATTGTTGGTCGCACTGGAGCTGGCAAGTCGTCATTGGTTTCAGCTCTGTTTCGCATGCCTCAACCGACTGGACAAGTCATTATTGATGACGTCGACACCGGCAAGATAAACATCCAAAGCGCTCGCCGAGCGATGTCAGTCATTACCCAGAATCCTGTTCTGTTTACTGGTTCACTGCGCATGAACTTGGATCCTTTTGAGGAGTACTCAGATCAGGAACTCTGGGACGCATTAGAAGAAGCGAGTTTGAAGACCATGGTGGAAAAGTTGCCAAAACAACTGAGTGAGGAGATTAAAGAATGTGGAGCAAACTTCAGCGTCGGCGAAAGACAACTTCTGTGTCTGGCTCGCGCTTTATTGAGGAGAAGCAAGATTATCATCATGGATGAAGCAACCGCAAATGTCGATTATAAGACAGATCAGTTGATTCAAGAAACCATTCATACAAAATCTAAGAATTGTACCGTGATTACAATTGCACATCGATTGAACACTATCATCGATTATGATCGAGTCTTGGTTCTGGAAAATGGACAAGTTGTTGAATACGACAAACCAGAAATCTTACTGCAGAACGAAG